GGTATGGGGGAGACAGAGATACACACACAGAGAGAGAGAGAGAGAGAGAGAGAGAGAGAGAGAGAGAGAGAGAGAGAGAGAGAGAGAGAGCATGGTTCATGTCCTGTGGAGGGAAGCAGATCTGAAGAGGTGAAGGTGGTAAAGAGTAGGCTGCGGTGGGTGACCTGTGTGCTACCCTGGGTCATGGTAAGAGCATAAGGCTGCACAGAGTTGGCCCTTCCCCTCACTGGCTGCAACACTAGGGAGAGCAGGCTCTGTTCCTTCACAGGCTGCAGCACTCAGGGGAGCAGGTCCTGCACTGCGCCGTGGAGCTGACTCTGTTCTTGTGGTGGGAGCTGGCCCTGAGAACATGAGCGTGACAGATTTGGCCCTGCCCCCGTTTGCCATATGGTGGCATGTGTGAGGGAGAGACCTCTTGTTCCTTGGCCCTCACCATCTGCAGCAGGTAGGAGAGCTGGCCCCTGGGTCGTGAGAGTGGAAGAAGTGGTCCTGCACCTCGCTGGCTGCAGCACTTGGGAGAGTGATGCCTGTGTTCCTCAGGGGAGGTAGCTGGTCAGAGGGCCTGGAAGCAGGAGAACTGGCCTAGCCCCTTGCTCCTCTCTGCATGAGGTGAACTAGCCAGGCCAGTGCTGTAGAGCTCACCCCGGGGTTAAGGATGGGAGAGAGCTGGCCGGCTGACCAACCCTGCAGCCACCCAGGCACAGAACCAGGCCCATGAGTGGAACCACCCCAATGTCCACCTCCTCCATGAACTACTGGAGCATGTGAAGGGGGCTGGTCCTGCAGACCCAAAGCTGCAGGATCTCCACGACACAGGGCAACAACAGGATGTCCAAGAGGAGTCCCAGTGAGGACCCAGTATTGACAGCGTAGCAGAAACCAGAGGCCTCGAACCAGACCAGTAACTCAGTGCAATGAACATTTGCCTTGAGGATGTATGGACCAAAGGGTTCACGGTGTGATCCACTGTGTCATTCTGCAGCTCCCATCCGAGATTTTGCTGTTCTTCCCTTAAATTTTATGTCATTTGTGGGGGAGGTTGCCGAGGTAGAGGGGTGGAATCCAGATGTATGGTGTGAAAGCCATGAAGGATCAATAAAAAGTTAAAAAATAATAAAAATAAACCTGAAAGCATGAAAGAACAATTGTTGCTCTTCCACGGGACTCGAGTACAGTTCCCAGCACCCATGTCAGGTAGTTGACAACCACTGATAATTCCAACTCCGGGGAAATCCAAAACCCTTGTTTGGCCTCTTTGGAAGCCACACAAATGTGGCACACATTCAAAGACACACACATACATAAGCATAAATTAAAAAGTCTTTCTAGGCCAGGCATTGGAGGCACATGCCTTTAATCCTAGCACTTAGGAAGCAGAGGCCCGAGGATCTCTGTGAGTTCGAGGCCAGCCTGGTCTATAGAGCGAGTTCCAGGACAGGCTCCAAAGCTACACAGAGAAACCCTGTCTCAAAAAACAAAACAAAACAACAACAACAAAAGCAAAAAAAAAGTCTTTCTACAAACCACTGAAATTTTATTTATAATGTTGGTTAATTTTTTTATTGTTTTGTTTGTTGTATTTTTTTCTTTTTAAGTTCTAACAGTTGTTCTAGAAATATGTCAAATAAAAGAGGGTAAGGAGAAACCCTGACTTCGTAGACAGTTGAGTAGCAGTCTGGGAACTCCCCAAATTATAACTGACATCAGTAGCAATGGTAGTCTTAGGGGACTGTGTCCTTAAACTATGGAATCTGGGGTCAAGGTTGCAGCCAAGCTCAGCAGGGGTGAAAGCCAAAGATGAAGTCACCTTCCCCCAAGGCTGTCAGAGTAGCAGGAGTGCTGGCATGGAGAGAATCTCTGAGGGCAGTGAACCTTTGAGGACCTCACCTGCCTTTCCAGTGAGGCATTCATAGCTATGAATGGGGTAACAGTCATGACCTTACTTTGCAAATTCTTTCCTGCACTAGCTCCCATAGCAGTTTCTATGTCCCAAGCTGCAGAAAATGGCTCAAATGTTACAAACAAGCACAGTCATCTGTGTGGCCTGTCTGGTGCTGCGTTGTTCTTTGCATAACCCTGTGTTGGGCAGACCCAGCTTGCCCCTGCTGTGTTTGGACAGACCCAGCTTGCCCCTGCTGTGGTTGGACAGTTTACCCCCTTGAAAACTCAGAGTGAAACCTATTTACCCTGAGAGCTGAGTTGATGGATGGGACCATTGTGGTGGCACATGGCTGTGATCCTAGCCTTTGGGAAGCAGAGGCTGGAGGACCACAGATTTTGGCCATCGGGAGCCCCAGGCTGGCCCAGCTTACACAGCAAGGTCTATGGAGTTGGAAGGTGCTTTAAGAGCTGCCCAAGAATGGACAGAGAGGTCTTTAGCATGACCACGGGAGAGGCTTGAACCCTCTAAGTCTGGTGCATCTCAGAGTCTCTGTCTCCTTTCCTCTTACCTTCCTTCTGTTGAAGTTTTGTTTCCCATCTACTGTGTTACTGATGTAGCAAGAGGCCTTCACTGGTTGCTAGTACCTTAACCTTAAACTTTCCAGTCTCAGGAACTAAGACCAATAACATTTATTTATTTGTTATTGAAGAGAATTTCTATTCATTAGAAATGACTCAAGCTGCGGTCTTCTGTTGTAGCACCATGAAACAGACTTGCGACTCTCCACAAATTCTCCTTCCTCCCTCCTCTGCCTCACTCAGTACCCTGCAATGCTGACCTTCATTGAGCTGCCTCATCCAGGTTCCTTTGCTATGGTTTCCTGGTGAGGCAGAGGGTCACCTCAGCCTCTCAGGTTCAGAGGAGATCGCCTGGGATTTTCCACACGTTTACTCCTTGCAAGTTTCCTATGTCCCTGCCCATAACTTTCTACATGGTCTTTAATGACTCAAATATGAAATGTTCTGTTGACATGCCCATGTGTTCAAGGCTTGGTCTGTTTGTAGCGCCATTGGGAGGTAGTAGAAACTTTAGAAGGTAGGGCTTAGCTAGAAGAAGTTTCATTGTCTCACCACTGATGGGGAGGCGTCCTTCTGTATTTATGTTTCTCTTGTTGGTTGATGAGTAAAACACCATTTGAGCAATAGAGACAGGAAGATAGGCGGGACTAGGAGATGAGGAGAATTCTGGGAAAGGTAGGCAGAGAGGGCACTGAAAGAGACGCCATGTAGAGACCAGGAAGATAGGATGCGCCAGGTGTTCTTCAGTTAGATAAGGCCATGTAGAAATATATAGATCACTAGTTATGGGCTAATAATTAAGACAGAGCTAGTTAATAAGGAACCTAGCCATTGGCCAATAGTTTAATGATTAATATAAGTCTTTGTGTGTTTATTTGTGACTGAAGCAGTGGTAGGATCAGGCTGGCAAGAAAACTTCAGTAACACACCACGGGCTCAGAAATTCCAGAACCAGCCACCAGGGATGGAAACTTCTGAAATCCCAAGCCAATATTCTTTCCTTTCTCACACTGTTTCTCTCAAAAATACGTCACAGTGTTTGACACCATCCTCCATTACCAGTTCATCAGATACTCCGCTGATGTCCATTGATTCTGACCTTGACAATTCAAGCACTCTTGGGCTGACACATGCTACCAGGATAACCTAGCATCTCCCCTGTATCACTAGTGACTCCATCCTGTCCTGTTGAAGCACAACTTGGGGACACATGCCCTTATGGCTGTATAAGATGGCCTACTCCTTCTCTGTTGCAAGGGCACTGACTGCTGCAGTTCCTTGGGCTGTAAATGCATCAGGCCTTAAGGTGTATTTCAAAGGAGTTGTGCTAAGAAAGCAGGAGCCAGGCAGCAGAGCTGTGGCTCAGAGCACTGCTCTTGAGTGTTAGTGCTGAGTCTGCCACCAAACGGCTGTGAGTTCAGGGACCTTACCCTCTTGTTTAGACTTAATTTCCTATACCTGTCTTGTAAGCGTTAGACTCCTTCTAAGAAAGTTCAAAATGTCAATAAACAGGTGAATGAATAAAGAAAATGGGGTATCAGTACATACTTGAGTTCTATTCAGCCTTAAGGAAGAACGAAATTAGATCATCTGCAGGGAAATGGATAGGCCCGGAGCTCATCATGTTAAGTGAAGTAAGCCAGACTTCAAAGATAAATGTCACATTTTTCTATCATGTGTAGAATATAGATTTTAATGTTTCTGTGTATATATTTCCCTTCCTACTTTTGTGTCACATATACAAATATTACAGGTTGGTAGAAACATGATAGATGGGAAAGGAAAGGGATCAGGGTTCAGGGGTTAAGTCTAGGTGTTGTGTAACAAATGAGAAATGAAACACACACATTTATTCATCCTGGATAGGGAGTCTATGGTAGACCACAGTACAGATACCTCCAGAGTCCAACTGGTGAATCATGTTTTACCAGGGATATTTACAGAGAGTATGGGTGAGTGGTTATTTATAGGCACAGAAACTACTCAGCTCACAAAATCTGGGAACCTGGAGCACATTGCACAGCCTGCAGGCAGCTCAGGAGTTTGAAGAGTGTCCCTCCCAAGTGCCTCAGCCTCAGTTGGTCTAAACTTATTTTGGGCAACCAAGTTGGTTTCTGCTTTTCCCAGGCAGCTGTGCTGGTCCCAGAGTCATCTTTGTAGCTTGTCTTGTCTGATAGTGACTCAACAGTAGTTATAGTTTATTTGGGGAGGGAGAGGCCTAGTGAATCTGGTCAGTTTCAGGGACTTCCTGAAGCTATTTTGAGTTGTTTACCTTCCTGTTAAAGAGCTTTCCTGAAGGATGAATGTTTCTATTCTGATGGAAACTGTTACCCGACAATAGGTAATCCAGGACTAGATTTGAAAATACATTCTATTCATGTATGAAAACGTCATTATAAAACTCATAATTCTGTTTATTATACATGCCTATAAAACAGTAATTTTCTAATTTTGTTCAGTTGAAAAGAATGTTTCTCAGTTTTTAAAACTGTGGAAAATAATTGGATAAGAAGATTCAAAGTTCTCTTCTAGGCCCAACATTTTTTTAAAGCTTATTTTATTAGATTTTACTTCTTGCAAGAGAGAGACAGAGAGAGTATTGTGTGTGCACACTCCCACATGCGAATACGCCACTGCACATATGCCCTGAAGACAGCTAGGAGTCAATTCCATCTTTATACCATTTGGTCCCAGAGATCAAACTCAGGCCATCAGGATTGACAGCAAGTGCCTTTACCAGCCCTGGCCCACTGAGACATTTCACCAGCCCTAAGCCAATTTCTGAGCATAAAATCAGCCTGTCTTCCTTGCCCTTGTGCCAGGGAGGCTCTGGTTCCAGGAATTAATGGAAACCCGATGACGAAAGCCCTGTGTCCTGCCAGGCCTCCCGCGTGGTACATTTGGTTTTGCTCTCCCAGTCATCCTGCAGCACCTTCTCACTTCCGCTTGCTTCTGCCACTGCTCCTGGGAGGGAAAAAGAAAGGGAAATTTTAAACCAGTTGCTTAAAATGCAAACCAGTCCCGAAAACAAAAACAGGGGAAAAATGAAAGGGCACCGCAACGAGTTGGCGTGGCCTGTCCGAATGGACCTCTGGAGTTTCACAAAGGCCTTGCCTGTGGCTGTGAGGCTGGCAGCCCTCAATATGTCACCCTAGAGCAGAATTAAAGAGTGTAATTCATAGTTTGGGCTCTGGGATCAAGTGGGTATGGATTCAAATCCCACTGCCACCGCTTACTGATGGGGTGATCTTGAAAAAAGTTACCTAATCACACTGAACTTTTCTTTGTAACCTGGGAAATCATGATAATACAGTATTAAGAGTAATAATAGGGAGCTAGAGAGATGGCTCAGTGGTTAAGAGCACTGGTGTCTCTCTCAAAAGATCCAGGGTATGGTACACACACGTACATGCAGGCAAAACACTCATTCACGAAAAACAAATACATCTTAAAAGAATAATACCTACTTGATAGAGTTATCATGGGGATTAGGAGTAGGGAAAATTGATTATACAATGTTTGGTTCAATGTTTAGATGCTAGAAAGAATCTAATAAGCTAATTATTTCTGGGTTTTATTATTAAAGCTAATCCCACCGGCATCCAAGAAGCCTGGAGACCAAAGTCCATTTGAGTACTCAGCAGAGGAAGCTTCAGTGTCCCTCTGTGATGTCACCTCACGAACTCTAAAATCACCTGGAAGTGGGCCGCTGGCCATGCCCTGGGGACTTTCCTGATGACATTACTAGATAGAGACCCTTCTTAATTTGGTCGGGCCATTGCCTGGCAGAAGATTCTGGACTGTATAAGATGAAGGAAGTAAATTGAGCACTCACATGCATGCATTCCTCTCTCCTTCCTGATTGCAATCAGTGACAGGCTGCACACGCCGTGGTAGACTGCGCATGTCAACATAGACTGTGCATGTGAACTGTGAGCCAGAATAAACTCTCCTTTCAGTTACTTCTGTCGGGGCATCAACAAGAAACTAAGATGGTTCCTCTTCTCCCTTGTCCCCCAGTCAGAGCTCTGGTTATGACGCTGTCATTTAGTGAATGTCTGCCGTGTTTCAGAACTTAGAGAAGCTATTCAATTCCCTTAGGGAGCTCCGTGGCTGACTCAATCATGGTGGAAGGGTAAGTCATGATGTTACTCATAGCTCCCAGCAACCCTGAGAAGGAGGTAGCCCCACCTCCATTCTAGCAGATTCTTATTCAATCATTATTACTGGAGACTGCTTATGATGGAGAAGAGCCTGTTCTGGAGGGAGCCTCATCTGGGTGCTGGGAAGATGACAGGATTCTCTTGAGTCTCAGGAGTAGGAAGACATGCCCAGCGTATCTCCACCTGGAACTCATCAGTCTAGACGAAACTTTAGAAACAGAATTCCTTCTGGTGGACAGACGACAAAGGTCTCTCCAGTATCTTTGCCTTGGTGGCACTGGAGCTAAAAACGTACCAGTGTCTTGAGCCAAGTAGTGGTGACCAGCTGCTTACGACATACTTTGCAAGAAGGGAAGGCATTGTGAGTGGTGTTTTTTTGTGGCTTTAAAAGAGTTTCGACGTGGTGATAACCTGTTTGCAATTTTTCTGAGACAGTTTTATGTAGCCCAGGCTAGCCTCCACTTGCTTTGCAGCTGAGGATGACCTTGAACTCCTGATCATCCTGCTTCTCCCTCCTGAGTGCTGGGGCTCTAGACAGACACCACCATATCTGGTTCTGATATTCTTTTTCCTTTAATAAAGTAGGAGCTGCTGTGAGCTGAGAGCTACCTCATGGTCCCCAAGCCACGCCTCATCCTAGTGCTTGCTTTGTGTCTGTCAGAGGCTCTTGATACCTCCAAGAAGGTGAATCAAAACCTCTCTTTTTAAATTTTTATTTTCATTGTCATTATTATGTGTGTCTGCTTGTTTTGCTTATGTGTATGTCTGTACACCATGTTGTGCATAGTTCTGTGGAGGACAGAAGACAGAGCTGGATCCTCTGGAACTGGAGTTAGAGATTGCCTTTTAAAGCAGGTACTGGAAACTGAACCCAAGGCCTCTGGAAGAGTGACCAGTGCCCTCAGCTACTGAGCCATCTCCCCAGCCCCTTTTCTTGCTCTCCTACCCTACTCTTTACCTGTAGGAGGTAACTAGGCCCTGAAACTCGGCAGTCATTCAATAAACAATAAGTGAAGATCCAGGTGGGAGGAAAACAGAAATGAAGGTTCCTTGGTTTCTTTTTCTGTTTCATGCCCAAACAAAGCCAGCTCAGGGCAGTCGACCTTCCCCCTGGAACTGAGAAGCCTCATGGATGAGGCTCCCTGCTACACGCATATGCTCTGATGATGCTCCCTGCTACACACATGTGCTTTGGTGATGCTCCCTGTTACACACATGTGCTTTGGTGATGCTTCCTGCTACACATATGTGCTTTGGTGATGCTCCCTGTTAATCACATGTGCTTTGGTGATGCTCCCTGTTACACACATGTGCTTTGGTGATGCTCCCTGCTACACACATGTGCTTTGGTTTAGGACTGATTCATAAATTTTGCTGAAGGGGGAAAAAAACCCTGGGGCAAGTTGGCCAAGGCTGGATTTTTTTTTTACTTGTTTTCAGTGGCTTGTTGGGCCCCTTTCCTGCCCTCCAACGGAGTTAGTCCCCTTGTGAGTGTGGGTGACAAACACATGTACAACATAAGAAAGAAGAAAGTATGGCTTAGAATTAAGAGATCTGGTTTGTTCACTGGCTTGCTCGCTTCTGTTTTTGAAACTGCGAGTGGGCCACCCGTCACTAGTGCCGGTTTTCTTTTCAGTAAATTGGTCTTAAGGGGCCTCATAGTCTTCGAGCTGCAGGAGGGTTAGGTAAGAGCACATCAAAGCATCCAGCAAAGTCACTGGCCCACAGAAGGCCTCCCCCAGATATGTGATGCCGTTCATTGAAAGTCCCAACTGGGGTTAGACTTCCAAAAGAAGAGCCACACCCTAGCTCTGGCCACCCTGTGTGAGGGGGCATTTGAGAGTTGGGTTTATGCCAGCAAAACAAAAGCTGCTTGCAGTCATATTATAGGCTGTCAGTCACAAGTTTTTAACTTTTAAACACTACATTCATTTGTTTACTTAGGAGGGCAGGTGCAGGTGTGCGGCAGAGACTGGCGTCAGTTTGCCAGAATTAGTTGTCTCCCTTTAAGATGGGGCTCGGTAGGCACTTTGCCCTATGAGCCTTCTCGCCAGGCCTCAAACATTTTTTAACATTTGCCTAGTGTGTGCATACACCTGTTTGTGTACACTTAGGTGCCACAGAGTGCCTATGAGGTCAGAGGACAACATCCCCAAGGCGGCTCTTTTTCCTTCCACCATGTGCATCCCAGGGGTGGAGCTCAGATCTTCAGTCTTGGTGGCAAGAGCCTCTCCTACTGAGCTATCTGACTGGCCCTCAGTCTTTTAGTCTTGCTTTCATTTTCACTCGATTTTATGTTTTGACACACAAGGTGGTTTAATATTGATTGCCAATTCAAGAGGTTTAGGATAAACCAAGCGACAAAGCCTCTGAGTGAGACTCTGAGGGACTTTCCAGAGTGGCTTGACAGAGGGGAAGACGCACTTGAATGTGGACAGTACTAGAATAAACCCCACCTTCTCCCAGTAGTTATCTGTCTCACTGCTATGACATACCTGGCAGAAGGACTTTTAAAAGGGGGTGATTTTTTCACATTTCTAGGGTTCAGTTCATCCTAGTGGGAAAATCATGATCATAGGAGCTCGAGGCAGCTGACCTGACATGGTGTCCTCAGTCAGGAAACAATGAATGCTAGAGCTCAGCTCACTTTCTCCCGTTCAGTCACACCCCTTTACCCACTGAGCCATCTGGCCAGCCTGGATGCTGACTTTTGAAATAAAAGCTTTGTTGCAATAGAAATCATACAATGTAAAAACCACTCTTAAACTGTATAATTCCATCATTTTTAGTACATTCACAGAATTATGCAAACATTACCACAGTCTCAGAACACTTTGTAACCTTCTAAAGAGAGTGCACACCTTGGAGAGATGGCTGAGAGGTTAAGGGCTCCTACTGCTCTGTCAGAGCCCTGGAGTTCAGATGCCAGCAAATGGCTCACACACACCTGTAACTCCAGCTTCAGGACACCGAGAGTCCCTTTCTGGCCTCCATGAGAACCCCAGGCACACAAAATAAAACTTAGAAACCACATACCTCATAAGTCACTCTTCATTTTCTTCCAAGTGCTAACTTCTAAACTAGTGCTAGGCCTGCTTTTGTTGGCATGAGTGACAGCTGGCCATTACTCCATGACAGTCCATAGTCTGACCACACATAACAGAGCCGTAATCTTTCAGGTGCAGTGAAAAGTAGCTTGGGAACTGTGTCAAGGTAAACTCAGCAGGGGATGTAAGAGGAGCACAGTTCATTTCTTCCTCACCCAATCCTACAGGCTGCGGGAGGCGGCACACAGCTCTTTCTTGCCCAGTGTAAAACCTTTTTCTCAGGATCCAACATGCCAGCTGGAGCTCTGGCCATCAAATCCTCTTTTCAGACAGCAAGAATAAGGACAGAGTGAAAGCCGTGTGCCACTGACTTTTAGGAAAACACGTCAATGGCTTTCAACAACATGTGTACTAACATCCCATTGACAGGAACTCCTTCATATTGCGATGTCTACCTGCAAAGAAGTCTGGGGAATTTAGCCTTATTTAAATCAGCCACGGTGGCTCTCATTAGTACATAAAGGGAGAGTAGGCATTGGAGCATATATCCATAGCAAATGTCTAACAGGTACTGCATAGCAAGACACCGGCAACTCTGGTATACAGCAATGCCCATCCCCCAACACGCTTGCTCTCAGGTACACTTGGCTGGTTGGGAAGCTTCAGTTCCAGCAACAGGCTTGATAAACTTAGACTCAGCTTGAGGTTGGTTCCTGTCTGTCCAGCTCCATATCCCCCTAGGACCAGGACTACTAGAGTGTGTTCTCTTCATGGAAAACGATAGGTACACAAGAAGTAAATCAAACAGATGAGATGCTTCTGGAAGCCTCTTGAGTGACTCCCTCCCATAATCTGTTGACCAAAGCCAGATGCAGTCCAAGTTAACATCAAGGACAGAAGGGACACTCTACTCACTTTGATACATAATACTACAAATCACATGGCAAAGGGTCTGTATAAAATTTGAACACAGGGAGTGATTGATCATGGTGAATAATGATCATTGTTCTACAAAAGATAGTGAAATTACCAGGTGTCCTAGTTAGCTTTAACTGTTAGTTAGTCACAACCTAGAATCGCCTGATAATGGAGTCTAAATTGAGGGAATGTCAAGGTCATATAAGTCTGTGGGCAAGTCGGAGGGAGGGACTCCTGATTATTAATTGATACCGGAGGGCCCAACCCATTGCAAATGGCACTGTTCCCTGGGCAGGTCTAGTTAAGTATAAACAAACCTAGGTGAGTAAACCAGCAAGCAGTGTTCCTCCATGTTTTCTGTTTCACATTCCTGTTTGAGTTCTTGCCCTGGTTTCCCCCAGTGACGGACGGTGACATAGAAGTATAAGCCAAACACATCCTCTCCTTCTCCAAGTTGGTTTTGCTGAGAGCATTTTATCACAGGAAAAGACAGACAGCCAGAACACCAGTAACTGTAGAACCAGCCGTCTGTCTTCTGAGGTCCCCAGGAGCAACTGCCTCTTGCCGTTGCTTTCATTTTGATGCTGGCCTGAGTTCTTGGTTGATTCCTCCTTGATGACCTGACTTTCAGGACTAAGCTAAGTTCTACCTCTCACAAAAGTGCTTCAACCAACAGGTCTCACTTCCTGTTCTGATAGCCACCTGCAGCTTTTCGTGCCTAGAAACAGGCTTCTAAGTCTCCTCAAGTGTGACCAGAACTTAGTTGTTTTCGCTTCAGTCCCCAAAGGTGTAACGAAGACCAGACCCCCTTCCCCAACTCTATCCCTCCCAAACCTGAGGACCAGAGAGACAACTCAGTAGTTAAGAGCATCGGCTGCTCTTGCAGAGAACCCAGGTTCGATTCCTCACAGGTACTCGTGCTCACAACCCTCTGTAACTCCAGCTCCATGGAATCTGATGCCCCTTTTCTGCCCCTGACCCCATCACTGCCTGCACATGTTGCACAAACATATGTGCAGACATAGCACTCATACACATAAAATAATAGTGATAATTTAAAGAAACAGACCTGGTGTACGTTTATAATTCTAGCACTAGAGAGGCAGAGACAGGCAGAACCCTAGAACTTGCTGCCCAGCCAGTTAACCTGGCAAAACTGGTGAGCTCCATCCAAGTGAATGAGAACTCAGAGGTAAGATGGGGAGCAATTGAGGAACATGTATGTTTTGTCTGTTTACCCATGCACCTGCATGCACATATGTGCACACACACACACACACACATCAAAACAAAACTGGGTTTACAGCAGTGACAATTCAGAATTCAGTGACTAGCTTAGCTTCCCCAAAGGGTGACCTTTTCATAGTTTACATTCTTAGTAAGTCACCCTGCTAAATGGTAATTGCTGGAGCTTCAGGCAAATTTCTGAAAGGTTTTGGTCAACCTTCTTGAAATAAACGACCTTCAGTGTACCTCACTAATACCATTTGCCTTAGATCACTTCAGTGTTAGTGGCTTCTTTCATTGCTGTGACAAAACTATTATTCACTCCATTGTTGAATAATAAAACGATACTATTCAGTTCTGGGCCCTTATCTGTGAAATGGTGCTACCGACATTCACCTCGGATTTTCCTCAATTGATCTCTGTAAACACTCTCACAGACACACCCAGAGAGCTGTTTCCCAGGAGATTCTAGACCCAGGCAAATGGATGAGGACCAACCTGAGAAAACCTAAACTTCTCAGCTACAGCCCAAAGTTAGCAGCAATTATAAAAATTTCCGAGTAGCTAGTTATTCCACAAATGACAGTCACTTCTATCAGACTGGAGCCACCTCCCATACAGGTGGCTTTAATGTGGTCTTTGTGTAGTGTAGAAGTTGAGACTGGTTTCCTACTCTTTTTCAGGAGGGTCACACACACACACACACACACAAAAACTAGCCACAGGTTTCTTTTTTAAAAAGTAAATCATCCAGCCAGGCATGGCGATGCACACCTGTAATTCCAGCCCTCAGGTGCTGGAGCAGGGGGATCTCTGTGAGTTCCAAGGCAGCCTAGTCCATGTAGTAAGCTCCAGGTCAGCTGGGGCTATGTATATAGACCTTATCTAAAAAATAATAAACTGTTTATTTGGCAATTTCATACATGTAAGAAAATGTACCTTGGTCATATCAACTCCCAATTCCCTGCTCCCATTCCCCTTGGGCAATCTTAAGTTCTCCTCTGCCCCTTCACACCCCCCTCTTTCTGTAACACAAAAAATAAAAACCCAGAGATATATATTGGGGTTCAGGCTTCAAGCTGAAAGTCAGAAAAGCAAAGCAGTCAGTCACTAGCTCTTACCTCAGGCGGAAAGGGCTGTCCTGTGCTTACAAATCCTCAGTGCAATTCTTCCCACCAAACCTCAGACTCTAATCATGTCTCCACCAAGCCTCAGATTGCAGACCCAGACTGCTGCCTCTCCTCAACATGACTGGAGAATTAATCTCTCACGAGACCCTTTGCGTCTTCCTTTTATACCTCTCAAATCCTGGGATTAAAGGCGTGGGATCCCAAGTGCTGAGATCTCCTTTGTGTGAGCTGTTTCTCTTTTAGACTGGATCTATCACTTCATATAGCTCAGTGTGGCCTTGAACTAAGAGAGATCGGTCTGCCTGTCTCCTGAGTCCTGGGATTAAAGGTGTGTGCCACCACTGCCTGGCTTCTATGTCTAGCTAGTATGGCTGCTGGGATTAAAAGTACTCATCACTACTGCCTGGCTCTATGGCTTGTGGCTGACTTTGCATTCTGAACCCTCAGACAAGTTTTATTAAACCATAAGCAATATATCATCACATCTCTCTCTCTTTCTCATTGTCCACTGAGTCTAATTAATGCTGGCTGTTGAAGTGTTGGCTGCTCTGGATGGTTTGATCGTCTACAGGCAATCATAGTTGTCTGAGGCCTTGGGTGTAACAGCTATATCATGTCTAGGAGACAGAAGCCCTCCCACCCTTTGGCTTTTTCATTCTTTCCTCCCCCTTTTCACCAGTGTTCCCTGAGCATTAGAGGTTTAGGGGCTGATATAGACATCCCATTTACGGCTGAGCACAGCACACAAGAGCTTCTTATTCTCAGCACTTTGACCTCTTATGCTCTCTGTGTTACCTCTGACCATTGCAGAAAGAAGCTTCCGGCCAAGGTTGAAGGCAGTGTGTAAAAGGTTCATTTAGCAAGACAACAGTAATGTGTTTCCCTGTGGGGCCTGTGATCACTTGAGCCATGCATGAGCATTTGACTAGGCTTACAACACTGGATATGAATTCCTTCCGAGGCGCAGGCCTCAAATCCAGTTTAAAAGTGATTGGTAACCTCCATAATTTTTGTGCCAACGTTGCACCAGTGGACACATCTTGCCTGGTGGGTTGGTATTGTAGGCCTACAGGGTTTGCCACTGGGTAATACCATTGATAGCGCCTCTCCCCCAGTGGCCTGCATTGCACTTCCTGCAAAAGCTAGGCAGCTGTGAGCAAGCTTTCAGGCCATCTGTAGCTTGATTTAACTGTGTCCTACAACCAAAGTATGTAAGCCACAGTTCTTATTTTTTATATATTTTTTATTATTTTAATTTTAAATAGCTTGTTTTATATGTCAATCCCAGTTCCCTCTCCCTCCCCTCCTCCCGCACTCCCCTTCCCCCCCCAGCCTCCCACCCTATTGCCAATTCCTTCCACATAGGGGATATCTAGAGTCTGTCATTTCACTCAGGGTAGGGTCCAGGCACTCCCCCTAAGAGTCCAGGCTGAGAGAGCATCCCTCTTTGTGTTATGGACATACGATATCTGTTTGTATGCCAGGGATAAACACTGATACACTGCCCATGGCCCCATAGGTTGCCCAGGCCTCCTCACTGACTCTCACATTCAGGGGGTCTGGATCAGTCCCATGCTGGCCTCCCAGCTGTCCGTCTGGGGTCCAAGAGCTCGCCCCTGAAGCCACAGTTCTTATAAAGTTAAACTTAAACATAAGCTTATCCTCTAACCCAAGAATTTCATTTCTGGGCACTAACCTTAGACAAATGAAAACTTGAGTCTGTTAGGCACAATTTCCTATCCATAAATGTTCAGAGTTATTTTCTTCCATGCTCCCCCTTGTACTTGCTTCTCCCTCTTCATCCTTCTTTCCCTCCTTCTAGTGCCCCTTTAAAAAGGTCT